CTTTAGAAGATGTTCCACATTTTCTACATATTCCTGTCATTTGCTTAAAAAATTCAAAATCTTTGCATATTCCCTCTAGAGTGTCTACTTAAGCTTCAAGTTCTGATAGTCTACCTTCTGCTTGACTCATTCTACTTGTAAGTTATTTTTTTTTATTTATTGGTGTATATGTGTGTGTGTGTGTGTGTGCGCGCGCGCCTGTGTATATATGTGCCATGGTACATGTTTGGAGGTCAGATGAAAACTTGCAGGAGTCATTTCTCTCCTAACATGTGGACCCTGAGATTCATACCAAAGTTTCCAGGCTTGGCAGCAAGTAACTTTTACTCTTTGAGCAATCTTGCTGGCCCCTATAAACTGTGTTTGTTGGGTGTTTTGTCATTTCAATGAAAGAACTATCACAATGATATACTTCACAATACTTTATAGACAAAAGAATGAATTTTAAATATTTTAATTTCGCAGAAATTGATTATACAACAAGAGAAAAATGGAGGACATCACATAAAAGAATGACCTTTTTGACATCCTTTCTACATCCACACATGACAAAAGATTTGATAGAAATAGGTTAAAATGTGATAATTTTTGTTTTCTTTTACTTTGCATCTTTTTAAAAAATTTCTATAACTAGTATATATATTTATATATATTTTAGAAAATGCCGATTATTATTAGCTGTAAAACATAATCATTTTTTGGAAATTATTTATTTCTATGCACTTACACAAGTATTTAAAGAGAAAGTGATGTTTTTAAAGCATTTACTTTGCCCAGTCCAAGTGTCAGTTGCTTTGAAGGATATATGAAAGAATAACAGCTAATTTTACTATCTAGGATTTTTTCTATTTCTCCTACAGTCAAAACTAACAGGAAAAACTATGCACACAATATATTACAGATATAGCCAGGTAAGATATGAGATGCACTGTGAGCCATAAGGGAAGCTGGAGACATTAGGGGTGGGATCGTCTTGGGAAAGATGTTAACCAAGCAGGGGTTTTCACACTTGGAGAGTTAGAACCTTTTAGAGTTATGTAAGGCAGAGAAGAGGAAGAAGCATTAGGGAGCTGTAATAATCCTGCCCCTTCTTGTGCACGCTACTGGGTGCTGGGGTGGGTGGTGGTGGTGGTGAAATGAGGCCCTAGGAAAGTGGAAGGTCTTGACCAGGGTGGTGCAGGGGTGGGTATTGGGCATAGCCTTATTCACTGAACATTTCTCTCTGCATCAGATTACAGCTTAGCTTGTTTCTTGCTTCTTTGGGGGTCTTCTCTTCTGCTAGCACATCTTTTGCTTGCTATCAGCTGACTGGTGTTTCAAAATTGAGTGAACTCTGTGTTCAAAGAGAGAGCAAATGGTTATGATGGAGTAGGGTGAGGCAGAGAGGGAAGGATATACAGGTGGATAAAACCAAATGTTATATCCTTTGGTGAAATCGTGATTTTTTTCTATCAATTTCAATTTCCTCTGGGGGTTAACCATTGGCCTGAGTCACAGCAAAACCTTTAAGGTTTTATGAAGTAAAAACAGACCTGTCTGTTTTAAGTCCAACATTTTTTGTTCCATCTTTGGCTCTTAGAAATGACTTTTGGTTTTATGAGTACAAGAAAAATTATATTTTGAAGACAGTAACTGAAACTGGGTTAAATGAGACAAGAGGAATGAATAGGAATGCCTAAATTAACAATAAAAGTAGCTCATCATTCTCTTTAAAGATGTAGTAAATAGTTGGACATGGTGGGCACACACCCTTAATTCCAGCTCTGGATGCAGAGGTACTTGGATCTCTCTAAGCTCGAGGCCAGGCTAGCTTACAAAGTGAGTTCCAGGACAGCCGGGGCTGTTACACAGAGAATCCTTCTCTCAAAAAACAAAACAAAAACAAAACAAAACAAAAGTATTAAATTTGTGCCTCTGGTTTGAGTGGCCAAATTTAAATGTGTTGTCTACATCCTTAGTTACTCTAGAACCCTGGAGGAGGAGTCTCCACGGTAATGCCTGCCAGGGTAAATTTCCAGAAGGTCAGCTGGACCCGTACCTCATCATCCTGCTTCACCATCTCTAGCCTCAGGGGCCCGTGATTTCCCCAGAGAACTAGCCTGTGTCCCCAGAGATGCTATGACATACGGTGTGTATGTCCTCTGGGCTATCTCTTGTTACTGTAACCTTCAGATGCGCTTTTCTCCTGTGTAAGTTATTGTTTGAGGACAACCTAGGTTGTACCTAGCTAGGTGAGAGTCAGCAGAGGGCTCCTGATTGGTATAGTTGTTCACTATAGAAGTGGACCACAGTTGCAGGGTGGAGGTGTTAGAAGTAAGGTATTTGTTGTCATCAAAACCTTTACCATGTGCCTCTTAACTTTAAACTTCAAAAGCTTTATGAACAACTTAGGCAGAGGGAGCAAGATATTTCACGCAAGAAACTCATGCGTATTAGGCAGGCCCGTGGAGGCATCCCTGTGCTCATAGGAGGAAGCATCATCTTCTACAGGAACATTTTTGATCATTTTATTTTGTTCTCAAGTTTAAAAGATTTGTTTTTCATCACACTGTGCTTCTCACACTTTGCATTACAGATGACAGTAACAATATCTCATAGACGTAGATGTGCCAATGTATTTATAGAGACAAAATGGCCAAAACCAAAGTAAAAAAAAATGAAATGCCACTACCACCACCAGAAAGCAGTAAAAAATTAAATAAAAAACCCCACAAAAAAGCAAAAAACAAAGCCCCCTAAAGAGCAAAGTACTCACTTGCAGATCATTACTGCTTGGAGCTAGACCCAGCAACGTACAACACCTTATGCGAGGGCCTCATTCCTAATGGTCACTGGAGCCTCACCCCAAGCAGGCAAATGATGTTATATAAAATTGACTACCTGAAAAGAGCTTGATACCTCTAGCTGCCATCTCAAACTCTGTGACCCCACATGAATGGCCCAGGGAACAAGCTCAGGCAACCTCTCTTAACTGTTATAATAGAACCATATCATTCCTTTTCATGGATGGGACTTTGGGTGTGAGACCTTGCCCACTGTGTTTCTGTTCACAGTGTCAGTTCTGATTTGGTAAGTACTTCTACCCCTGTGCCTTGGACTCATCAATCTTGGCATGACAACTGTGCTACCCATTCATTATGGTGAAGCACAAAGTGAACATTTTGTTGTGAAAGTATTTACATTGAAATCTTGGGGAAAGTAATCAGCCAGCGGCTTTTAACACATGGTTAAGGTGTAAAACTGGTGGAGAGGCGCTGAAGCTGTCAGTGGGTAGGACAGTCTGTGGTGGTGCAGTAACCATGCTGCTGCACACGAGGCTGGAAAGCAGTGACCTCACACTCCCACAGGAAGAGTGTATGGCACAGTGAGTGCTTATGAAGGCAAGCAAAAGCCAGCCAAGCAGTAAACTTTTATTGGGAATCTCCTGTTGGTAAGACATTGTACTAGATTCAAGGGAAAGGTTAATTCTCAGGAGGGTTTCACCAAATTTCTGAGGTCATACAAAAATCCATCACAGGAAAATTTCTCTAAGAAACTCCTTAGTAATAGAAAGTAACTTTATAGATAATTTAGAGAAATTTTACCCCAGACTCAAAACAGGCAATATCCAGATGACAGGCCAAAAAGCCTTTAATAACAGTAAAAATAATATCAATAAAACTCAAATATATTCTAAGCAAGATGATATAGAAACATCTACTTTACAAAATAATTTACACTATTTAATCAAGATACCTGGAAGTTGTGTCTGAAAAATCTACAAGGACATGAAACAGAAGCATGATAGTAATAATATATAGTGCTACAGTAATTTATACTGAACTAGTAAAGAAAACTAAACATTGAATGTTTTATTTGCATAAAGTCATGTTTGTAGAAATATCCTCTGCAGATCATGGAAATGGCAAATTGGTGACAGGGTAAAGCAAGCTTTAGTCATTTTTTTTTTCTAGATACTTGATCCCAGAGCAACAGTTTCTTCTCTTCTTCATTTCCCACTTTCCTGGATCTGGTAAGTAGCCTGTCTTTCATCTTCCTAGAATCTGCTCTTTTACCTAGGCTATCCATGTGGAGGGTCATAAGAAAAGTAACAACAAAAGCAGCTATTTCAGATGTGTTATCTTCAGTGAGGGTTTGGCTGAGAAAAATAGAGAGTAGAATTCACAGCGTAGATTCAAACTGAGTGAAGGCGATGTATCAATCTTAAAGCATGAAAATAGCATATAATGTAGGGGAGAAAAGAGAAATTTAAGAGAAAAAGTCAGAGAGGAAAGATTAATTTTGGTAAAAGATCAAAGTGACACACTGGGGGGACAGCACAGAAAATTGGAAGGAAAGGAACACATAAATGAGGTGTCAAACAGAAGGAATGAGCTGTCAGTGCGAGAAGTGATGAACTGAGGCTGGTGAAGAAACACTGAAAGCTCAATAGAGAAGGAAGGAGGAAGAGAAGGCAGAAGGAGAAAGAAGGGAGCAAATAATGTAATTGAGGAGACAGGTGGAAGAAAAATGCCGAATAGAGTCTAAACTAGGAAACAGGACAGACAGAAACAACATACAGGGAGAAGCGGCATACAGTGCACAGGACTGTACTGGCAGGCAGGCCTCTGCATAAAATGGAAAACTCAGTAGCCTGCTAGATGTGCAGAACCAGACAACATCATAAGTAATCTGAGAGAAAAAGGGGAAGTTAACAAGAAAGAGGGAACTAACTCAGACAATCAGACGAAGTGCTTCCAAGTTTCAAGGCAGGAATGGTCATGGCCTTCATGCTTTTTCTTAAGTGTGCAGTAATTTGTTACAGTGCTGGATCCAGCCAGCCCTGGAGGCCCAATCTCATGAACTCTACCTGGGCCGCTATTTCTACTTTCGGGAGGGTAAAAGATGTAGGGATCATTAAGAAGGTCAGATAATCGAGTCTCGCGGAACAAAGTTACAGAACCATTGACATAGGATTGCTAGTCTTTTTGTCCCCCAAGAATGCTCGGTTGAAGTGATCCCTAAGCCTGAAGCAGTAAGCAGCCTTGTATTTGGTCCTGTGGACTGGTTTCTTGAAAAGATTCAAAGGTAATGTGTTCATCTGCATTAAGTTGGTCAACATTTATACTTTTAATTTGTTCCCTAGTAGCTAACCCAACCAATTTGTTCGGATTTTCAGTAGGTATAGGGAGAGCACCATTAAGTAGGCTTTGTCTTCCAGTGTTAGTTGGCGGTCCAGTGCTAGAAGAGTGAAATTTTGCTAATTTGGAGTTAAAGCATGGTACTTTCAGGATGGTAGGTGGTCTTTGCTGCTGCCTCTCACCCTCATTTCCTTGGACTTCACTTTTTGTGCTGCCTGGGCCAGAGCCTTTATCAGGGATCCCAATAACGAGCTGTTCAGGAGTAAGGTCAGCAGTTCTTTCACTGAGCTGGCTGCCTTCAAAAAATTGTTTCAGAATATCCCTCCGATCTCCTCCAAGGTCACTTTTAAGGCAGGGTACATTTTTTGGCTGAGAAGAGCTGGCTTCAGGAAAGGCCACAAGTCCTGTCTCCGGTTGGTTCTTTCCAGAATGTGGTGTGTTTTCCTTCAGACTAGGCAAACCATCTCCAAAAGGACTTGGGTCTGGGCTTTCCGCAGTTAGTTTGTTCTCTGAGATGTTTCTTTGACTCGGTAGGATGCTTGTTGGGGAGATGTTAGGTCTTGCATACTTGGTATAGCTGTTTTCTGTATACACAGGGCTGGTTTCCTGGTTCTCCCTTGGTGTAAGACCATAGGACGACACGTAGTCTTGTAGGGCCAGCACATTGTCTTTATGTCCCGTGGAGCCACCAATACAGCAGGAACCTCTCTGATTTTGGTGAAATAAGTGTGCATCGTTTTGGCCTGATGGGTAACTTTGAGGAATGAGGTCTGGGAAAGCCAACTGTTCTCTCTCTGGTGGACTTAAGCCAGTAGTTTGCAAATCATAGTACAAATTCTCACCTTCAAGCCATGTTGGGTCTTTTGGAAATCCGGCAGGGGAATTAGTGGAATAAGGATGATTTGGTATATTAGAGTTGTGTAAATTTATTGACTGATCCCAGACATTTCTGTTGAGATATGGTTCACTTTCCTTCTGCCTCTGTGCTTGATTCTTGTGGTCCCAGGAGTTCCAGGAAGGAAAGAGAGTGCTTTCTTCTTGTCCTATGGCATTATTAACATAAAAACTCCCGGGATCCACAGGCGGGGCTATAGTAGGACCTGGATTATATATTGGAAAAGTTTCATGTGTGTTCCAGGGATAGAATTCACTGTAAGGAAAATCTTCCCTGGGTTTTGGTGGATTACTCAAGGAATAGGGAAGATACTCCTTTGGCAGGGTTGAGGTGTATTGCTCACCTTCATACTGCCGAACTGTTGGATTTCCTTTGAAGTTCAGCTCATCATCACCCCATCTACTTTGTCCTGGAAAAGATTCATCTTCATTTGGATCAATTGGGTCCTCTTCATTGTACTGCTCTGTCTCCTTCTGGTCTAGAGAGTTCATGGGGTACTGTGGATGTTCTGGTTGCCCCACAGTATGGGGAGAGCCAACCCTCTTATCCCATGCATTTCGTCTAATGTATGGTGAGTTTTCATTAGGATAAGGATTGTTATATTCATGGTAAAAAATGTTTCCTCTGGAGCCATAGGAAGGATGAGGTAAATTTTTTTGTTGCCTCCTATGATTTTTCTTTAATGGTGGAGGGATTACTTGGCGATTCCAGGTATTTCTTTCAGCAGGAAAATGTTTTCTTGCAGGAGTTGGGATTTTCTTCGGGTATGCAGGCTGATGTGTGCTATGCTTTAATTCAGGCTTCTTAGTTTCTGATTCAAATGGGGTTCTTTTTGGCTCCAAAGCAATTCCTTTGGGCAAATTCTGGCTTTGGGTTTTTATATTGGGACTTGGTGTTCTTCTGGAATCTCCTTTTGGAAAGTAGGAGTTTTCTTGCTGATCAAACAAATTAAAATTTGGGCCTACCATGCTACCCTCAGGGTGAGGCAAATTATAATTTGGCTTGTTAATTCCATATTGTTGAGAGCCTCTCCAGTGGCTGGCTGTATCTTTTGTAGGATTGACTGTTCTTTCTTTCTGACCTAGTGACTTTTCCTTTGGGTTTTGGGTTTTCACATTGTGGCTAACAGTAACCTGTTTAAGACCCACTGAGGCCACATTGGGTCCCACAAATGGTTTATTTGAGGCTGCGTTGTTTCTCACAAATGGCTTATTTGAGGCTGCATTGGCCCCCACAAATGGTTTATTTGAGGCTGCGTTGTGTCTCACAAATGGCTTATTTGCTGCGGGATTGGTTCCTATAGATGGTTTATTTGAGGCCGGATTGGTTCCCACAAAGGGTTTATTTGCTGCTGGATTGGTTCCTATAAAGGGTTTATTTGAGGCCGGATTGGTTCCCACAAAGGGTTTGTTTGCTGCTGGATTGGTTCCCACAAAGGGTTTATTTGAGGCCGGATTGGTTCCCACAAAGGGTTTATTTGCTGCTGGATTGGTTCCCACAAAGGGTTTATTTGCTGCTGGATTGGTTCCCACAAAGGGTTTATTTGAGGCTGGATTGGTTCCCACAAAGGGTTTATTTGAGGCTGGATTGGTTCCCACAAAAGGATTATTTGAAGCTGGATTGGTTCCTACAAAGGGATTTTTTGGCTCCGGTAATTTTCTTCCAAAATTTACTGGATTTCTTGCATAGTTGGGATAGTTAACTCTTGAAGTAGGAGGGGAAGGTTTGCGATAAGTTGGATTTCCTGGATGAGTAGCTTCTTTGCCTTCCCAAGCAAAGGAATTCCACTGGGGACCCCTTTGGACTTGTGGATTTCTGTGAGTAGGTTTATTCTGTCTGGGCCCCTGGGTACCAGTGGTTTGCCATTGTCGTCCTGCAGGATAATTTCGTGTATTCGGATAAGGATAATTCTCATAAATATTTGGCTGACTTGGTCTCCATGGAATTTGGTTTCTCGTTACTCCCTGTCCCGAAACATTAACTTTAGGAAGAGGGAAGACACCATTTTGAACTGTAGGGCTGTTTCCAGCATTCGGCCCAGGGCCCCTGTTTCCTACTGGGCTAGTGTCATTTCCGCCTTGACTCCCTCCGGGAACTGATTGAGTGGCGTTAGCCTCAACCAAAGTTGAGTTAGTGGAGGCCTCAGGGGGTGGGTCGTCTGGGGGTGGGTCCTCTGGTTTAGGAGGATCTTTTTCTTTGGGCTTTTCATAATCTTCAAACATCTCTTCTGAATAATAAGGACGACCCCCAAAACCATGATATCCAAAATATGCATAGTAAGGGTTCTGTAAGAAATAAGTCAGAAATGGAGAATTACTCTGTTGCTTGGAGTTGCTGAATGTAACAGGCACAGCTCGCGCACGGGCTTCTCATGCCCCTGCAGCCTACACTTTTCCCTGTCTGCGTGCTGAGTGTGCTCTCTAGCCTTTAGGCCCAAATCCTGAACCTCAGGCTTAAAACACTTTTTTGATCTAGGATCTCACAGTCTTACTCTGTCGCTTAGGCTTTGAACTCGTGAAACTCCCATGCTTTAGCCTCCTGAACACTGAGGTTACACATGTGAGCCACCTATCCAGGTTGACGTTTATAGTTATTAAAATGGTCTAGTTACTCTTTGAGACAGCGTTTTGGCATGTAACCCTGGCTGGCCCTTATGCTGCGCAGATCCGTCTAGCTCTAAACTTGCAGTGATCCCCTCGCCTTTGCCTTCAGAGTGCTGCGATTACCGGGAGGACAGCATCTGGATTTGCAGTTTTTGCTTTTTGATTTCGTGGTTTTTCATCCTCACTTCTGTGCTCTCATTTTACACACCTGTTGTTGAGGAATCAGTTGCATGCAAGAACTTTGGATATGGATACATGCTTTTACCTCACAAAGGCAAAAGCCTGTCCCACAGTTCTCTCCCAAGGTCCAGTCAGTAGGCTGTAGACTCTTCCAACGGAAGGCACCCATAACTGGGTTCATCTCATAAACGTCATTCTCCAGTATTGAGTATCTAAGGAACAGTTACTACCTTCAAACTCAGTTCCTCCAGCTTCTGCTTTCTTTCTCATTTCCCCAGATGACTAATTACCAGCAACAATCATTGCATCTAAACTTCTCATCCCTCTCCTGTCTTTTATGTCTACTACCCCCAAGCCATTGCAGTTGCTTCCTCGCTGACTACTGTATGCTGTAATCTTATTCCTCCCACCCCGATTTTCTTTTGTTTTTTTGCAAAAGGAGTAATGGAAACTAGGGATATATTTCTGAGAATTACAAGGTTTCCCTCTTTATGTGTGCTTAAAGTTGCCTTTACCTTAGAGGATAAACTCTAAGTTCTTTATCAACACATAGAAAGCAGCATGTCTTGATGCCAGACTGCTGTGGCGGGCAGTTCCTTTCTACCACTTTCAGTGCTCCGACTATTGACGAAGTTCATTTTGTTCACTCGTCATATGGAGATAATAATAATAGTAATAGAATAGTCTGCACAATTTGTCAGGAAAGTCAAATGAGAATGTATATACTATATATCTTCATATCTGAAACTTTGTTTCCAATAAATGCTATATCTTTTAATTAAAATGTTAAAATTTTTACAATCATCTGAGCCATGGCCTTGACATTTAATATGTTTTCCTTTTCCTTAAACTTGCTGTGTTTACAAAGGACATCTGCTGTTATGTCTGCGTCTTTGCACGTGGCTTCCTTCCTATCTAATGACTTTCTGCCTTCACACTCACCCCTCCCAATACAAATGGCTTATTCTTCAAGACCCAGCTTGAGCCTCACGGCTGCGCCCTGACTTCCCTTAGCAGTGCTGGGTCTCCTGGTGTCCGTACCAGTCTGCTGTGATCATCATTGCAGCAAATTTTAGCTGCTTATTTTTGATTCCCCCGTGTGAAATTTTTGAGTAAAAATATTGTTTTTGATATTCAAGTTTTCTACAACAGTAAGAAATGCTTATTAATTTTCAATTACTTAATTGTTAAGTCTTCTACCAGTGAGCTATATCCCCAGCCTTAGTTTTTCTTTGAAAAACAAATAAAATAGAGGGGGAAATAGTTTTATTCTCATTTGGGGATAGAGATGATGAAATAGGCAGGTGAGAAAAATGCTTCAATTCACACAGGGAATTGAACAGTATCCCCAAGAGGCTACAGATTTAATGCCTAGTTAGCCTGGATCATTCTGTTATTTGCTAATGTTGTTTATGAAGTTCTAGTTTCTAGGTGAGGTTGTTTACAATGATCTGAATCACTCTTATTTGGGTATTTTATAGTGATATTTTTAAGCTCCCTACGATATCACTGAAATAATAATTTTTACTATCATTACTTTAATAACATCTTGTTCCTTTTTTCTCTGGCAAAGGTATTGATTTCTGCTTTCACTGAGTGCATATCACATATTTAGGGCTAAAGAGTAAGCAAAGTCCAGGAGTGGATTCACAACCACTAGAATAGTTTATTCAGTGACACAGTCTTGTTGCTATACTAAGAATTGGTTGAGTATATTTGATTACTTTCCTGGAGTATAGTAAAAATGATATGATAATTATAAGACTTGGGTTTGGTCCAGTATATCCTGTAATCCAAGAGGAAAAACTAATTTTTTTCTCAGTATTTGTGCAATGGAATATTTAGATTTCCTGTGAAGGGAATATTCTAAGAGGACTTTAATTTATTTCTCTGTGTTTTTACTGTCTAGAGTTCACTATTAACTTTGTAAAGAGCCTAATAGTTTTCACAGCAAATATGTGAGCAATTTTTCAATACATGTAGAGAAAAATTATACCCTGTTCAAATGGTGCTATGTTTAGACACAAGGCCATGCATCTGTGCATTGTGCTGAGACTATAGGCATGCTCTTCCATGCCAAACAATGTAGCAAACTTACTTAGATTACTGGCTTGATTTTATTTCACTTGAAAAATTCTTAGGAATTTGAGTTAAAGAAATTTAAGTTCTGAGACATTGGGTTAAATGATAGCAGCTGATAGACTGTAAACCCTATGTGTGGTGATAGAGTGATAGGGTGAGAGAGTGACTCCTACTTACTCCTTCTTCATTGCTGAACTTTGGACGTCCAAATGCTGGTGGTGGTCCCCTCTGAAAGATGAAACGCACAATTAACATAGGAAGAAATCGCTTTCCATTCTTTTCATTCATTTTTTTTTTTTTAAGACAAGGTTTTGCTTTGTATCAGTGTCATTATGTATATGGCCTGGCCTTGAGTTCATGGCAATCTTCCTGCCTCAGCATTCTGAGTGCTGGGATTTCAGATGTGCACAACTAGACCCGGTTAGATATGTGCATATGGGTGTGTGGGCATGTGTGTCTGCGCATGCGCTCATGGGAACGTGTGTGTGTGTGTGTGTGTGTGTGTGTGTGTGTGCATGCATGTGCACATGTGTGGAGGCCAGAGGCTGGTGTTGGATGTCTTCATCTTTCCTCCTTCACATTTTTGAGATAGGATCTCTCATTGAATCTGCGCTCACTGGTTGGCTAGAGCAGCTGAGCACTGGGATTCCCCTGTCACCTCTTCTCAGCACTGGGTAGGTGCTGGGGATCTGAGCTCAAGTCTTTATGCTTGTGTAGCAAGCACTTTGTCCTCTGAATTCTCTCCTCAGCCCTGGAGACCACCTTCTGTGATGATGTTTGCTCATAAAAATGGAGGTGTAGAATAAACCCACTAAAAGCTGTACATCTAAACAAACTAAGCAAAGGAGAGGACCCTAACTAAAATGTTCAATCCCCATCCTGAAAGGCAAAGAGGATGTACATCAGAAGAAAACGAAAATAGGAAACAACCTCGGAACCCGCTACAGAGGGCCTCTGAAAGCCAGAAGAAAACAGGAAACAACCTTGAAACCTGCCACAGAGGGCCTCTGAAAGCTTCTGCAGTATAGACTGTCAAAGCAGATGCTGAGCCTGATGGCCAACTGATGGGCAGAGTGAATGGAATTTTATGTAAGAAGTGGGAAATAAATAGTAAGAGCTGGAGGGAACGGGAACTCCACAAGCAGAGCAACAGAACAAGATAATTTGAACACAGGGAACTTCCCAGAGACTCATACTCCAACCAAGGACTATTTGTGGAGATGACCTGGAACCCCTGCACAGGTGTAGCCCATGGCAGTTCAGTGTCCAAGTGGGTTCCATGGTAATGGGAAGAGGGACTGCCTCTGACATAATCTGATTGGCCTGCTCGTTGATCACTTCCCCCTGAGGGGGGAGCAGCCTTACCAGGCCACAGTAGAGGACAATGCAGCCACTTTTGATGAGAACTGATAGACTAAGATCAGAAAGAAGGAGAGGAGGACCTCCCCTATCAGTGGACTTGGGGAGTGGCATGCATGCAGAAAGGGGAGGGAGGGTGGGATCGGCAGGGGAGGAGGGAGGGGCTCATGGGGGGATACAAAATGAATAAAGTGTAATTAATAAAAAAAATAAAAGATTTAAAAAAAATGGAGGTGTGTGTAGTCGTTTCCTTAGTAATGTTATGTCTGTTCTCTGGACTTTGTGCTCCTGAGTCATTAGGCTTACTACCTACCTACTGATGCTTATGATCCATTAGTGAGTGCTATTTTTATAAGGCCTCAAGAGGATCCTAGGTTATCTTACTAAAAATTCCCGTATGCCTTAGCAATCACCTTACCGCACTATTTCCTTTGGGGTGGCAGAGAGAGGGAGGAGAGCAGGAAGAGAGAAAGATAGAGATATTTCTATTAAAGTGATAGTGGGCTTCAACTATATTAGAACACACAACAATACGAGATTAAACAGTGATGCTATATTTAACATGCTTTGTGTACATTTGCGTTTTTTCTAACTAAACTTGAATGCTCACCCAAAGAAGTAAGGACTTCCCATGTACATGGATTTATCAAACTCAAGATTATAAAAAATTATCATATTACTAAAAGTGATCTATATACTTAACTCAATCAACATGAAAATTTCAGTTATTTCCTTTACAAAAATAGGAAAAAAATTTCTTAAATTTATGTGAAAGCACAAAGGACTCAAATAACTAGAAGAATTCTAACCAGAAAGAGAAATTCTGGTGATATCACAATACCTGATACTCCTCTGCATAGTACAGAGCTATAGTAACAAAGCGAGTATGACATTTGCACAAAAACAGATATTTTGGCTAGTGGAATAGAAAATCAAATCCAGAATTAAACCCACAGAGCTGAAAACGCCTAATTTCCCACAAAGGTGTCAAACAAATACACTAGAAAAAAGACAGCCTCTTTAACAAATGGTGCTGGAAAACCTGTATCCACCTATAGAAGGATTAAACTAAATGTGCATCTATCGCTCATCTTACACAAAAACCAACTCAAAGTGGATTGAAAGGTTAAATATAAGACCTAGATTTGGAAGCTAATAAAGGAAAACACAGATAAAACACTTCAAGATGAAGGCCTAGTAAGAATTTTCTGACAGAGACTCCAAGAGCACAGTAAAGACTCCCAAGAATCAAGAAATGGGAGGATTACGTGGCATTAAAGAGTTTTTTTTACATCAAAGATACAGAGACAGTCTACAGAGTGGGAAGGAATCATTGCCAGCTATATTTAAGAATGTAGAAAGAACTGTAAAAATTGAACACTAAAGGAAATAGTAAGGGATCTAAAGCAATGGAGAGACAGTTATTGAAGGAAGAAATACAAATGGCCAATAAACATTTATAAAAGTATTGAACATTCTTAATTACAAATTAAAATCAATCTATGATCAATTAATTAATAATTTACTAACTTATGATTTATTAATTAGAATTATAGATTAAAATTAATTTAATTCTATCTCAGTATAGTCAGAATGGTTATAATTTCAGCAAACAAATGCTAAGAAATGCTATCAAGCATGGGGGAAAGAGGAATCTTAGAAACTGCAGGTGAGCTTTTCTAGTTCTATCCATTTGCCTGCAATGGATTTCATGATTCCCTTGTTTTTAATTGCTGGGTAGTATTCCATTGTGTAAATGTACCACAATTTCTGTATCCATTCCTCAGTTGAGGGACACGTGGGTTGTTTCCAGATTCTGGCTGTTAAAAATAAAGCTGCTATGAACATGGTTGAGCAAATGTCCTTGTTCTATAGTTGAGCATCTTTTGGATATATGACTAAGAGTGGGATAGCTGGATCTTGAGGTAGCACTATTCCTGAGTGAGTTAACCCAGAAGCAGAGAGACACACATGATATATACTCACTCACTTAAAAGTGGATATTAGAATATAGGATAAGCATACTAAAATCTGTACACTTAAAGAGGCTAAGCAAGAAGGAGGACCCTAGGGAAATTGCTCAATCCTCATTCAGAAAGGCAAATGGGGCAGACCTTGGAAGCAGGAGAAAACAGGGAACAGGACAGGAGCCTACCACAGAGGGTCCCTGAAAGACTCTACCCAGCAGGGTATCAAAGCAGATGCTGAGACTCATAACCAAACTTTGAGCAGAGTGTAGGGAATCTTATGAAAGAAGGGGGAGACAAAAAGACCTGGAGGGGACAGGAGCCCCACAAGGAAAGCAACAGAGCCATAGGAATGTCAAAAGTTTAAAAAACAAGAGTACATTAAATTTAAAGAAATGAAAGCTCAGGGATGTTTACAAAGTAGCAGGGGTTTGAAAAGAAGTTTTTGTTTCTTTTCAGGTCAATGTAGATGAGATTAGTAGTCATTTTAACATGAAAATCATGTTGCTTTTAAATCGTTTACCTGGAACTGCCTATGTTTCCTTACTTTAATGTGACCAAATAAGAGAAAAAGCCACCCTTTTAAGGAAAATAAAAAAACAAACTAAAGTAAAGAGTAAATAATTTCTTGTTTCAGACCCTCTTGGTCAGAGAATCGTAAGCAGGAAAAACCTTTTTCATAGCCAAACAAACAGTCATTGAGTACTTCTTGATGAACTCATGAAGTTTTCAACAACTTGCCTTTACTCAGTGGTTCTCAACCTGTGGGCCACAACCTTGGGGAGGGGGTTGAATGGCCCTTTTACAGGAGTTGCCTAAGACCACTGGAAAACACAGATATCTATGTTATAATTCATAACAACAGCAAAATTACAGTTATGAAATAGCAATGAGGGCTGGAAAGGTGGCTCGGAGGTTAAGAGCACTGGCCAATCTTCCAACAGTTCCAAGTTCAATTCCTAGCAACCACATGGTGGCTCAGAACCATCTAAAATGAAATAGCAATGAAAATAATTTTATGGTTGGAGGTCACCACAACATGAAGTGTGTATTAAAGGATTAGGAAGGTTGAGAACCACTGACTTTACTGTTCTCTTAATTCAAATAAGCTAAATATTACATTTCATGTCATTAGTTTTAAACTTTAGGAATGCTGAGAAAGCATGTATTATTTTGCAAAATTCCTTATGGCATATCTGTTAGAAAAAGATGTGATGGAGAGATTATAATCTAATCATAGCTTGCTTCTTAGTTTTAAACTCTGTTTTGTGTCAGCTTCACTATTATATTAAATTATGATAGTCACTGAAGATATTTTAATATCTTATGTGAGGGTATTATAGCACAACCACTTAAAATTAATTTGTTAACTCATGTTATTAGTGGTGATCTAGGCTCTGTTCACATTGCCAACTGGTATGAATAAAAATATATTTAGTTTTTTAATCATTTTTTCTGAATAATTACTAACTTGATTTTGTTTTGTACTCTTTACTGTCAGCATATGAACTTGTATTAGTCTTACATGCTAATATTATTTTTAATTTACAGCATAAGAAATTCTTACCTGTGGATCTGGCCATGGGGGTTGTGGATAGGGGTAAAGCCCATTGCCAAATGGTGGGAATGGCTAGAAAGAAAGACAGGTTAGAGTTATTTAGCAGTGAGATTGAAAATGAGAAAAGAAAGAAATTGATAAGTATTTGACAACTAGAGAATGCTTATACTTTTGTTTGCATCAAATCTCTCTGAGAGTCCTTCAGACCTCAGACAACCATGCCCTATTATTATTTCCATTTTGCTTGAGAAGCTGAGGTTTAGAGAAGTTAGGTGCCCCAAATGGCAGAATGACTGAAGCCAAGTTTCAAATCCAGGAGTGCCCTTTCATTCACTTTTGTGTTTCCTATATGTATAATTGTATTATAATAAAGAACCAAAAGCCACCATTCCTGAAGTTCTATGCAGCAGGAGATCTTGAGAAACCGTTTGTGCCTCATCTTGCCGTATGTTATGACTGTGCTTGAGTCATCTGGGAGAACTGAAAGTAGCGGCAGTTGCAGAAGAATGTTACATATCATCTAAGCACAAGTCTGGAAATGATTTAAAAGCCTTTAATTCACTCATGGGGAAACAAGTCTGGAAGGTAAAGTGTCTTTCTCAATATCGTGTGACCAATGAAGGTGGGCTTAGAACTTGGCCTTTCTTTCCTGACTCTTCTGGTAGTCATGAGACTCTGTATCACATTTTATTTATTTTTGAAGAGTATCTCACCACATAGCCATGGTGGCCTTATACTCATGATCCTACATCAGCCTTTATGTTGCTGGAATTATAGGCATATTCCATAACCCACAGCTTGTTTCTGTGTCTTAAAAGGATCTTTAAGGCAACAATATTTGTGTACATTTGAACTAAATAAGGTTGGAGTTGACCTGCTCGGTAAGTCATAATTAAATATCATATCCTTACACAACAACACCTGTGCTGAATTGTGGAGGAAGTACATATGCCGGAAAGAAATGGACCTTCAAATCTCTTTTAAGGCATGTTTATGCCTCCAGTCTGGAAGCTTTCTAGTCAAGCCTCACCTGAGGTGGCTGAGCTTCCTCTTTGGCCCGGGCTGCTTCATTTGGTGGTTCCTTTACAGGCTGCTTTTGTGGCTGTGGCTCTTGTGGATTGGTCTGGTTGGGTTTGGCGGTCTCCTGGGTTTGATCCGTCTTGCTGGGGAAATTGGGCATTGGGGGTTGCTGCCATCCATTGGGTGCCGGCGGTGGCCACATGGGCATGTGGTATGGAGGGTAGGGCGGAGGCATGTGCGGAGGCATCTGTAAGCCGTTTCCATATGGACCCATGTGCATCATCTGAAAGAGGAGCGGAAGCAGTAACGTCGACTGAGGGCTGGGGTCCAGACAACTCCCATCTTCTGAATGAAAGCTTCCAAAACCTCACTTGGAGGGGACAGGAGCTCCACAAGGAGAGCAACGCAACCAAAAAATCTGGGCACAGGGATCTTTTCTGATACTGATATTCCAAACAAGGACCATTCATGGAGATAACCTAGAACCCCTGCACAGATGTATAGCCCATGACAGCTCAGTGTGCAAGAGGGTTCCCTAGTAGTGGGAACAGAGACTGTCTCTGACATGAACTAAGGGGCTGGCTCTTTGATCATCTCTGCCTGAGGGAGGAGCAGCCTTAAAAGGCCACAGAGGAAGACCTGATAAGTTAGGATCAGATGGAAGGGGAGGAGGACCTCTATCAGTGGACAGGGGGAGGGGCATAGGAGAAGAAGAGGGAGGGTGGGATTGGGAGGGGATGGGCAGTTACAGCTGGGATACAAAGTGAATAAACTGTAATTAATACAAATGAAATAAAATTCAAAAGAAGCTTAAAAGTCCAGTAGAATTGGATTCTAAGATCATTAATGAAAACTGCACCATATTTTGTCTTACTGAATGAGTCTTCAGTTTTCTAGAAAGCCTGTTAAGCTAATCAAAGGTAAACTTGAATAAACAATTTTAAGAACTTGACGGACTGGAGAATGGCTTAGTGGGCAAAGTGCTTGCCGTTCAAATGTGTGAACTCAAGTTTGGATCACAGGAGACCATGCATGTAAAGTTGGCCACAGTAGCGTCATGGATAATCCCAGTGCTCCTATGGTGAGATGGGAGATGGAGACAAGAGAATCCCTGGAGGCTTCTGGGCCCACTTGCCTGCTATGTTTAGTGCAAGCAACAAAGAAAGACACTGTGTCAAGAGGGTGGAAGGCAAGGACTGATGCCCTGAGTTCTTCTCTGACCTTCATGCACATGCACATTTACTGTGTGCACACACACATACACACAGAGCAACCTTCCTGCCTCTGAGATCCAGAGTGTGGAGACTGGGGGGGTTTACTACCACAGCTAGCTTAAGAATCTTAGGTTTTTCTAAGTGTACAGAATTTTATGGAAAATTATGTCAAATTCAAAACTCATGTGACTTGCTATATATAAGGCCAGGTAGAGAGAAAGGAGAACAAAACAACCAACACCAAAATGACCTTCCCAAACCAAGCAAACAGCAAACAAAGAAAACCCAGAAACACATGCAGTATTTTGTGTTGGTGAAAATTTCAACTCATAGACAAACATTAAAACAGCAAGTAAAGTTGGACCAACCAGAAATTTAGAAGGAGAACATTGAAAATGATGACTCTAGCTGAAGACTTTAAGAGGTGATTACTGAATGGAAAGGATTAAGACAAAATTGATAAAGTCTGTAATAATGCCACAAAAGTGAAAAGTGATATGTACTTTTGGGCTATTACACAATTTTGTCAGAAGATCAGCTGATGTTCCTGGTTTAGTTTGCTCTAAAAGTTAGCATACAACCACAAAAATAACCCATGTTCACTCCGGCGGGAAAAAAAGATTCATAATGATAGTGTTGTTTAAGATAACACAAATAGAATTCATTTCTCAAATAGTATTTGTTATACTACTCTTGTTATTTCTTGTGGAAAAAGCTATAAACTTTGGTCAGAACCAAGTTTTCTAAGACACAAGGATTATTTGTAATTATTTAGATGATGTTCATTTGTAGAAGAAACAAAAACAATAGAAATGAATAAGGAGAATGTTTGTCAGTAGGGACAAGTGATATGATTTTTCTTCTTGAAACTATTGTAATGGTTATCTTTTAACAAAGACACGTGAATGGTGATTATCATTGCTGTGAGCTAAGAAAAACATACCACAGATTCCAGGTATAAATAAGAAAGTTTCAGAAGCAGTTATAAGAAAACTTACAGGTGGGGCATTCATGAAGTTGAATTGACTGTATCGCATCATCTGAAATGAAAGAAATTTATTAATGTGGCATAAAATGAAAAGCTTTAATCCAACTAAGTCACAAAGCACAAGAAATGAACTTAGGGTCTGGAAGCACAACAGTCATAATTTGGCAATTAATATATGAGTTTAAAATTTGTATTCATTAAATTCTAGAGTACATAATTTTTTTTGTATATGTACAGTTTTTAAAAAGTTGTAAACATTTAATTAATGTGTGTGAGTGTTTGCCTGCGTGTGTGTCTGGACATTGCAGTGTGTGTCTGATATCCACAGAAACCAGAAGAGGGTATAAGACTTACTGCCACTGGGGTCACAGACAATTATGTGGGTGGGGAATCAAATCTCTATTTTCTGGAAGAACATAGTGCTCTTAAGCACTGAGCTATCTCTCTAGCCCCTTATGCACAGGTTTGTATATGTATTGGTCTGTGTGCGTATGGCAGCCGACATCTTAGATGTTGCTCTGTAGGAGCTATCTGCCTTCTGTTTTGAGACAGTTTCATTGGTATCTGTGGCTTCCTGATTTTGGGGCTTCCTTCCTCACTGGCTGGTCAGGGAGCTCCATGAATCCTCCTGCCTGCACTCCCCAGTGTTGGAATTGTAAGGGAGTGTCACCAAACTTGGTTTTTTTTTTGGATCAGACTACAAGTTTTCATGCTTGTACAACAAGCTCTTTACCAACTGAGCAATCCCCTGAGTTTCTGAATTTGAAGTCAGACTTCATATTGAATCAATATAGAATACCAGAAAGTAAATATAATTTACCTTGAAGATCAATATAGAATAACAATAAATAAATATATTTTACTTTGACTATTTTGAATGTTCTTTTTATTTAGAATTCAGGATTTGAGATCAAGATAATTCTATGGTAAAATGATACCTGTTTCTCTGCACTTTCAGAGGCAGGTGGATCTGTGAATTCAAGACCAGCTTAGTCTTCCTAACTACACAGTTAGGTACTAGTTTGCTTACTTTTTTTTTTTTTTTTAAATCAGGCAGTGCTCAAGAATATAAGCATATTCTACTGTGATTTTTATGTTAAGTAGCAGACAGTAATTACCAAAGTCAGACTAAGAAGGAAAGCAAATCAAAACAACCCTGAGATTTCACCTTATAGCCATTAGAATGGCTAAGACAAAAAACTCAAGTGACAACACATGCCGGAGAGGATATGGAGAAAGGGGAACCCTCCTCCATTGCTGATGGGAGTGTAAACTTGTACAACCACTTTAAAAATCAATCTGGCGCTTTCTCAGACAATTAGGAATAGTGCTTCTTCAAGATCCACTCCTTATACCACTCCTAGGCATATATCCAAAATATGCTCAAGTATACAAGGACATTTGCTCAACCATGTTCATAGTAGCTTTATTTGTAATAGCCAGAATCTGGAAACAACCCATATGTCCCTCAATGGAGGAATGGATAAAAAAATTTTGGTATATTTACACAATGGAATACTACTCAGCAATTAAAAACAAGGAAATCATGAAATTTGCAGGCAAATGGTGGGAACTAGAAAAGATTATCCTGGGTGAGCTATCCCAGAAGCAGAAAGACACACATGGTATATTCTCACTTATAAGTTGATACTAGACATATAATGTAGGATAAATATACTAAAACCTGTACACCCAAAGAAGCTAAGCAAGAAGAAGGACCCTGGGTAAGATGATCAATCCTCACTCAGAAAGACAAACAGAATGGACAGTGGAAGAGGGAGAAAACAGGGAACAGGACAGGAGCCTACCACAGAGGATCTCTGAAAGACTCTACCCACCAGGGTATCAAAGCAGATGCTGAGAGTCATAGCCAAACTTTGGGCAGTGTGCAGGGAATCTTATGAAAGAAGGAGGAGATAGAAAGACTTGGAGGGGACAGAAGTCCCATAAGAAGAGCAACAGAACCAAAAAATCTGGGCACAAGGGTCTTTTCTGAGACTGATACTCCAACCAAGGGCTGTGCATGGAGATAACCTAGAACTCCTGCACAGATGTAGCCCATGGCAGCTCAGTCTCCAAGTCAGTTCCCTTTTAATGGGAACAGGGACTGTCTCTTTGATCACCCCCCCCCCCCGAGGTGGGTGCAGCCTTACCAGGCCACAGAGGAAGACAATGCAGCCAGTCCTGATAAGCTAGGTTCAGATGGAAGGGGAAGAGGACATCCTCTTATCAGTGGACTTGGAGAGGGGTATGGGAGGAGATGAGGGAAAAAGGGTAGGATTGGGAGAGGGTGAGGGAGGGGGCTACAGCTGTAATACAAAGTGAATAAACTGTAATTTATAAATAAATAAATAAATAAATAAATAAATAAATAAACAAACAAACAAACTAGAGTTCCAGGACAGCCAGGGCAACATAATAGAGAGATCATGTCTCCAAAACAAAACAAAACAAAACAAAACAAAACAAAACAAAACACCCAAACAAATATACAAAGATTCTTGTTTCTAATGTACACAGAATTTGACTAATGATAACTAGATTGAATTATGTTAAAGAGAAACACTTTCTTACACTCCAGTTACAAATAAATGCCTCTTTACTAGTGAACAAAGCTGGCCCCAAAGCTAACAATGAAATTATAACATAAATCGTCACTGAAACACATTAGTAGGCTCATGGGGAAGAACATTTTTGCTTTGATTTGAATGCAAGACTTTCAACTTTACCTTCCTTTGTCTATTCATAAGAAATTTTATTTTCTTAAAAAAATACCAATAGTTTCTTTTTCATGACCTCCTTGTTAGGACTCTGGTACACATCTCCTCCAGTATAGAGGATAATACATACCTCTTCACTTTTACTGCTAAATCCAGGCATTCGGGGCATCGGCATCTGGAACTGAGGGAGAGATGCAAAGCCTTAGGTGAAATAATCTGTCAGCTGTCCCCGAGTCATGCGACAACAGGACACAAAGGAAAGGGACATCGTAAAAGTAAGTACTCACTGGCATGGCAGCAGAGCTACCAAGCAAACCCAGAAACACAAGGAGAATCTTCATTTTTATATTTGGTACCTAGAATATAAAACAATATTATCTTGGGACAGCAAAATAAATGTGCTTTGGGCACTCTACAGTTAGTGTACAGTTAGCCTCTTTACTTTTCCATCAGGCAGAGTTCAGAAAGAAAGGAACTCTACTGAGATTTTGTGTTAGGCAGCAGACATTATTTACCAAAGTCAGATTAAGAAGGAAAGATGGGGGTGGGTGGGAATGGGGGGAGATAGTTTATAACCTGAAAAGCCTTAGTATTTATCATTCTCAGTGTTTGTCAGCCAAGTTGGTTTAGAAAGACATAGTAAGGCTCAGCCACATCCATCTTACATACCTTCAGTTTCAATGAATGTCTACTTCAAAAATCAAGACTTAAAAGTTTTCAAGATACTATCTTTGACGTTGCAGTATATAGAAATTAGCTAATGTTCTAATTAAATAAACTAAACTTTCACTGTTATTTTCCCTCTTTTCCTCTATATCTATTACTGTTATGAGTTGACCTTTAAGATGCATGCTTGCTCAAGGGCTTGTCAGGGAACATTAAGAACGGAGAGACAGAAATGTACATCTTGTCTCTTCCTTAGAAAAGTAACTGGTGAGGCTAGCATGTTCAGTGTCGGTTAGAAAGCCACAAGGAAGTGAAAAGAGAGTGTGGGTAGAGGGTCTCCTTTCTAAATGTCTATGATATTGTGGATCAAGGCTTTTGGGAAGTTTGGTGTCCATCTCACTCACTTACCCATTCTATCTTTTAGTGGAGTCACAGTGAGTCTAGATTTTGTACACTCAGGAAAGGAGACATCTCCGTTTATTTTGTGTGTATATAGTGTCTTCATTTTTTGCTAAACTATCAGATTATGTTGGATGATGTTTTAATATCCCTTTTATCTCTAAACATAATTGAACAACAGCCAATGATTACTTTTTTGCTTGAAAATAAGACTACTGGCTGCTCTGAAGGACAGTGGCGTAAATTTTTACATCCTCCACATTATTTTACATATTTAATTGAGGTCTGGTCCTCTCAAGCACACTTAATGAAGCTTATAGTTTGAAAGAGCAGAGAATAGAAAAGTTAGTGGCACACTCACCAGGTTACATGGCTTCGGAAGAGAGGCTGTGTCTCTGCACTGAAGCAGCAACATGTTCTCACCAAAACGTTCATAAGCCTTTTGGGAAAAAAATAAGGATTTTTGCATGAGAGGAAACTCAAATTTGGAAAGTGAGCAAATAAATGAAACAAATAGCAAAGCATCACCTCCAAGGGGAGCCCATGTCCTATTAATCATTTTATCCAACCATACCCTTATGAGAGGGTCCTCAAAATCGAGTTTAGTCTTCGGTGCTTTAGGATTAGGATGAGAGCTAAGTCAGAGAGAAATGAGATAGGCGTCGTATTCTGAGACACTTCTAGTGCATTGTTGACAACACTTCTTTATGGGAAAAGGTACAAAGTACAGGTTAAAGGAGGTCAGAGTGGTTTGGAAGAAAACCTACAAGAGAAACAAACACCAAGTGAACCAAGGAGCTGGAACTTTTATCAAAAGATTAGTCTACAAGAGTGATTTAGAAATATCACGGAATATGATAGGAAAGTTAACAAACATCTATAAATAAGGTCAATATTTGGCACTAGACAGTACATGTTGTTAATCTTTGATACTCACCCAACGCCACTTAGAAGCTGCACTACATGAAAAGTAAACTTGAACCCTTGTTAACCTGTCTTTGAGATATGTTCTTAATAGCCCACGGTAGAAATGACTACAAACTGCTGAAGCCAGAAAGAGCCAAGGAGCAAGACACGTTTATTTCTTAATCATAAAACAAAAATTCATCAAGAAGGTGTCATGTTCAGTACCCAAAAGACTTAACATAAAAAGGTCCCTCCTTGTCAGGAGGCTTCATATCAGGGTCACATTTAAGCACTGTTGTAGACATGTGCAACCAATCAGCTTTGAGGAAAATGGTTTTGCCATCACGAGAGTTTAAAGTGAAAAAAAAAAATCCAGTGCAAAATTTATAATGTGTTATTATAGAAGCCGTGGAATGAAGTCTCTTATTATCTATAATAACAGCTCAGAAAAACAAGCTTACAGCAGTAAGATTTAGAAGGTGCTTTCCTTGTGAATTTGGGCTTTGAAGTATAGAAACTTCATTTATACAAATATATTTTGGGAACAAAAGTGACTATTAGCTATATGCTACTGACATAAATCACTGGCCACCATCAAAAGGTTTTGGAATAGCATAGATCTAGTTGATATGTGGTTAATATGTAATTAAACTGGAATGTTATATCTATAACAAGCTTACTTACTTGATGTGTATTATATAGAAACCTAGGTTATAGTTCCTGTCTTAAAATGAGATGTAGCTTAGTCATTAGGGATTTAGAATTTTAGAGGAGCTGGCCAGAATGGCAAATAACTCTCAGATGCTTATGATGACACAAGTTTGGACAGAATGTAGTCAAGAAATTCACTAGGAATTGTGATTAGTATTATTTTTTTCTGCAGCCTGACTTTTCATAATAAAGACTTCACCAATTTTGCTTTCTACTGACAAGAGCAAGCTTTGCATTCTAGATTGACCTGGTCCTTTTACGTCTTCCTGAAAGAACATGCGTGCCATGGTGAGCTTGCTTAGTTTAATGCTGGCGTTTAAAAACAGAGGACTGGCTTTGCTGCCAAAGGCTGTCTCCTACTTTAAATGTCTCTGCTCACCCCGTTGCATGTGTACTATTCTTCCAAGGTATACTATAATGTCTCAATGTCTCACACAACATTACGGTTTTCAGGAACCCTAATCCAAAGTTTAGTACTACAAAGAATAAGACAGTGTTAGAATAACAGTATTTAAGTAAATTCAAAATATTTTCAACCTGTATGTATGCAAGATTTGCAAAGGTGTCTCGGATAAAGGCAGTCAGCAAAGTGTCAGGCTGCCTTTGTCTGATTCTATAGCAATTGAGTAGCAAGTAAAACACTGTGTTTACAGTGACATGAATTTGCAAGAATTTAGTCACTTAGGGCCAGTGGGACGGAGTGTGACACATGGTATTGACAGCCCTGGGCTCTGCCTGTACTTTCCACGGAATCTGGACACTTTATTTCAGCCTTAGCAGATAGCCTCCTGGGAGTTGCCACCAAACTCCACTCTTGATCACTTTCTCCATTTACCTTACTTCTCTCGCCTTTGAAGACATGTTCTAGCTCAGGAGGGAAAGCCTATGGAGATATAAGTGCCTAGATTCTGAACCCAGGATGAGAAATCTTGCTTTTTATAGATGCTTTGGTTACTAGGTGTTGCTACTAAATTACCACAGTTTACTTTGTTTGTATTAGTTCTCTGTGCTACCATGTTGGGTGTTGATCACAAAAGTCCATAATTTTTTTTTTCTTCAAAACATCGCTACCAATTGGTTTCCCATGGTAAGGGGAACAGGGACTATTTCTGACAGGAACTCAATGGAAGACTCTTTGACCTCACCACCCCCCAAGGGAAAAGCAGTCCTGCTAGGCCACAGAGGAGGACTTTGCAGCCAGTCCTGAAGATACCTGATAAAACAGGGTCAGATGAAAGGGGAGGAGGTCCTTCCCAATCAGTGGACTTGGAAGGGGCAGGAAGGAGATGAGGGAGGGAGGGTGGGATTGAGAGGGAATGAGGGAATGAGATACAGCTGGGATACAGAGTTAATAAAAATGTGACTAATAATAAAAAAATAAAATTAAATTTAAAAAAAAATTCCCTTTCTTCGGAAGAAACATAAAAATGTGTTCAACTGTATAAAGTACTTTGGGACCAGGCTGTGACTTTTTTCCATATACTCCATGGTAATGAATTACTTGTTATTTTATAATTCTTTTTATTCTCCAAACAGTTACAACTGTCTGTGAACGTGTTTTATAATATAGCTTAATTTTTTTTAAAAATGTGTATCTGTTCCTCAGTTTTGTTATTCAGTATTCTAGTCTCATTCAAAAACAATGCTTCTCAATCTGGGGCCAGAATTTGTGCTTTTGTGTTTAAATGCACTCCTCCCAGCAAAAAGGGGAACAGATAGCCTTCTGTTTGCCTTTGTTTGTTCAGATGCTCTAGGTTGGTTGATTTGTTTGAGACACGGTCTCACTATGTATCCTTGTCTGTCCTGGAATTCAATACACAGAGCAAGCTGGCCTGAAACTCACCAAAATCTACCTGCCTCTGCCTCCCAAGTGCTGGCATTAAAGTTGCCTGTCACCATGCCTCACTAACCTAGGTTTTAAGTTAGTGGGAGCAGAAGTCTTTTGGTCTCTTAAATATGGTGAAAAACACTAGATATTGAGTTATCATACTGAAGTTTAAATTTGCTGTTAGACTGTTTTCTTTTCTGTTGAGTAAAACAAGGGTAATATTAAATGCCTCCTAAGTTTCTTTAAGGAACAAATGAAATAATATTCAAGGCAAGTAGTAATCAGTGACTCGTCAAGACATGAAGAAGGCACCTTTTGTGGATGTATGTTAACTTTTAATGATTTACTAATGACTTAAAAGTAAAGTCGCTATAGTTTTCAAGTATCCCCTTTCCAGAATACAGCTATGTTATAAAAGGCAGAATGTGTAGGACTGCCAAATGAAGCACTTGGTACTCCATCGTGGTGTCAAGTAATGTTTAAGTATCCATCATGCTGGTTTCTCTCCAAAGCTATCTAGGTCTCCCTATGTGTGAGACACCCTTGTAATAGAAGAAGAAAGAAGGAAGAAAGAGGCAGAGGAAAAGAAGGAGGAGGAGGAAGAGGAAAAAGATGAGGAAGGGTAGTTCTTCCTTGATCTTTCACAGATCATGTTGTGTGTAGGTCTCTATGTCACAAGCCATTCTGAACATTGTCATGCAAAGCCCTGGCTTAGGTGCCCACTGTATTCACAGTGTCTTAGGATGGGAAATTTACTTGGCATTAGGTTCAAATTCTGGTTTCTACAATTTTTATGCCTTAAAGCCTGGTCAAGTTATTTAATCTTCTTAATTCTCAGTTTCCTCATTTGTAAAATGAGAGAAAGTAAATTTTTAAGTATTTCCTGAGAGTTTGAGATAAATTTTAATACCAGTTTAAATAAATCTTATGTGTAAATAAATATTTCATCATTATTATTATGTTAATAGGTTTCTCAATAGTTGCTTTATTACCAACCACTGACACATTAAAAATTTTTTTGAGTAATATGTCACCTTACCATGATTACTTATTCATCAAAACAAAAATAACATCTGGGCACGACGGTGCATGTCTGTTCTGTCAGCACTAATGTGGATGATGAAGAAGGAATATCATGCGTTTGAAGCCAGACTTGGCTAGACAGTGAAATTCTATCTTAACCAACAAAACAAAGCAAACAAGCAAAGAAGCAAATAGAATCAACCACATCTACTACTATCACAAGAAGAAACCATGAAAAGGACAGCAAGGATCTGCATAGCATTTCAGATTTTACCTTATCTAAATTCAGCATTTGGTTTACAAGGAGGACATGGCCCAGGGCCTGACTGCTGGAGGGTAGTCATTTATTTGGACCGCCCTCAAAGGTAGTGGTTACTCCCTGGAGATCTAGGCAATCAACTCTTTTATGTATATATATATTCACGATCAGCTTTCAGAAGATCAGTGTGTCTGCCGTATTCTCTCTCTGTCCTGAGGAGACAATGTAACCCAAGGGCTAAGGTCACGGGACATGAGGCTGGCTGTACTGAGCGCCAAAAGCAGCCCTTGACTCAGGGAGCGTTCACATGGATCGGGCATTTACTCCTTACAGTTCACAGGGGTGGTTATGCTGCCATCTCATGGAAATAACACACTTGGTCACTTTCCATACCTTTGTTGTCGTTTATTTACTCATTTGGTGTAAAAATCTGTGCCGTCGAGTGCTTCCCATTCACCCCAATTAATAGGAAACTAGAACTGTATTTGATACTAGGATGAACAGTGGCCATAGGGCATGTAAATTCTAAACTAGTAAAACAAAGATATCTCTTTGAGGAAAAGAACGAAAAGCTATGTGAGAAACTAAATATATGTTTTTTGGTGTATTTTTATTTATTTTGGATACATTTTTTTGATAAGAAAAAACTGTAGCAAGCTTTAAGGAAGTGAGTGACAAGTGGCACCAA